AACTGTGTGTCAGACAAGCAATAGGGGAAAAATACTGAGACACTGAACATTAGAGCTAACCTGTCTAGAGGGTACTTAGTATCAGACAGTGCTGTCTGGACTTAGAGATCCTGACTGCAGAAGCACAAGTGTAAGGACATTTTTTAAGATTATGGCTGAGTTGAGACATAAATGGTACAATTTTCAGTGACTCTGTGCCTAACCTGTACTACGCATCTTCTTGATAGTAAGCATGCACTTACACTGGTTAGATGCTGAACTACATTGCTGTAGTTCCACAGACAGTACAGATGAACAGTTCCTTTTGGACTGGTGGTTTAAGCTCTGTTGCCCAAAGGTTGAGCTCCATTCCACTGATTACTTGTATGGGAGGGGAAAAGAAAGAGTTTCTATCAAGTTTTGTGTTGCTTAAAGATTAAAACATGATTTTGTGTTGGTATGAATAAAGAAGGTTGAGCTTGAGAAGGAGGTTGTTTGGATAGCTGGAGTAGTTTGGTTGTGAGTTGGGCTATTTTGGGTGAGGGGGAGAGTTGGGGCAGTGGATGGCCCTAGGTTTGGTGGTTTTTAGAGTGGTAGCAAATCAGTGCTAGAAATGCACAAAATCTACAAACCTATTTCAGAGATGCCTTTAGCCTTGTACTCAGTGTGAACTAGGACTTTATGAAGCAGTAGTACTTTCTCTTGGTTGCTTTCCACAAATAGGTGTATTCTAGGCTTCAAGCTAAAACCCTTTGATGATGATTTTCTTTGCTCTTCCTTAGGTTTAATTCTCAGTTTACTATTAGGTGTCACAAGCAGGGATGTGAAACACAAACTTTCTAAAGCCAAGTTCCATGAAAAAGCAGAGCACAGAGTCTGGATTCCCCTGTTGGGCACAGAACCGAACCTTCCAGGTCAGCATGGGTTGTGTTTTCAACACCATCTGTTGTGCCTGGGGATGCCAATGCTTCAATAATTTTGTGACCAGTGATCTTACACAGTTTGCCACGAAGGAAAATGGAATGTGGATTTTGGTTTTAGTCATCAACTTCTACTCTTAGGTGAATTTATATGTGCTTTCAGAAGGCCACTTTTAAGAACAACTTATATGGCAGGAGAACTCATAACACATGTAAGGCATTATTTAGGATTTTGGCTCTGAAATTTGCATATGGGAGATGACTGGTTTTTCAAGTTCTAACCCAGAAATAGGCAGGTAACTTTGATAATCTTTTATTTCTAGAGTGTAAAAGCCCTAATCACCCCAGCACTCTAAGAAACTTCTGTAGATTGTGTTGTGCACTTAGTAGCTCCTGGTTATTTTTTCACCATGCATTTAGAGCAGATTCCAGTTAGCATATGAGTAACATCATGTCAGTCCTAGTTCTTTTGTTCTGACATCTCTTTTGGCTCCTGGTGCGATTTGGCCCGGTTTTCCAAAATGTTGATCCTGAGTCCAAATGTAACTTTGTGGGTGGTACGTATGTCAAGGCCTTGTTCAGTATTTTTGGACAGCAGTAGCATTTCATAATTCTTTTGAAATGAAAAGAAGAAACAAAGTTAACTGAAAAAAATGCAGCTAGATCTAGCTGGGCACGAGCTTGCCTTTTCTACTCCCCACTGCTCCTCCTGTTTTTCCATTTGGAAAAATAGAGGCTTACGTGGCAGAAGCACTTAACAGGCTTTAGGCTCATTCAGAGCTGGAAGCAAGAGCATTGCCTTGTCTTTATAACCTTTCTTGTCATGCCCTGGTAACCACGAAAACCTCCTGGGATGTGGACAAGGAAGATAGAGAGAAGGAGAGGGGAGGGTTGCAACACTGTGTTGTTAAAGCAGTGTGCTGGGCTGAATTACACAGAGGGCTGAATAAGGCCATGCTGGCACTAAAAGAGCCAAACCACCCCTTCAGGTTCTCTGTGTATCTGTGTTTGATATACCTACTGCTATATTATATCTTTATATACAGTAAACAACAATATAAATGCAACTTTATTACATAAAATCAAGAAAAATAGTCCAGAAGGTTGTAGCCTATGTGAAATAAGCCCACATATAAAATGCAGGAGGTTTCACAGGGCAGAAATGAAAATTAACTTCATATCTTCTTTCTGTCTCCCCAGTGCAGTTGCTGAGTTGTTAGCTGAAAAGCTGTGCTTCGTGCTTCTCTTGCAGCAAACCCCACATTAGTATATTATTAATTCTGTTTCTCTGGCAATGCAGGACACAGGTACTTTTCTAGAGTGGCCCAGGTTGCTTTTCAGTGTGTCTGTGCTACCTCCGCTGCTGTGGTTGCAGTTCTGAGCATTGTTTTTTACGTGATGGCAATTTTTCAGGCAATAGCAACATCAACAGAAAAAGCACATTTGAGATGAGTTTGACACCCAAGTTCTAAGCTCGAGAGGTGACAGGCTATGAGTAACCACAAAATAAATCACTGTAGCTCTCTGGGCCTCCCTCACTTAGTTGCACAGCTTCAGGAGGTCACAGGCTAGCCAGCTGCTCTCCCTAATCTGCTGATGGAACAAGTTAGCTGCAGCCCTTGGAACACAGCCTCCCCCAGTGTCCTTACACTGAGGTGTCACAGTTGAAGGCCTGAGGGACAGTGGTTTTTTAATGGTTCCCTGAAAGAAGCTGCACTCAGCAGTGGGGAGCATTCTTTTGAAGGACACTGGCCTAAATGACACTTTTTTCCTTTCTTCCTAAAGCACAGTCAGTGTGAGGTGTTGTGCAGGAGAATATAAGGAAGAAGAGGAGAGAGGGGAAAAAGCTTGGTCCCTGCTTTTGTCAGCTTACAGGGCAGTGTAAAGTGAGGGCTTTGGTCTTAAATAGTTGTGGTTACCTTGCAGATAATACAGTCTGTGTGTAAAGAATGGGCTTGTTTTTTTCTTTTTAAGAGGGGGCTGCAACTAGTTCAGCCACATCACCTTAGTTTTGTCTGCTGTTTTAACAAATATGCACAACAATGTGAACATCCAGTAGGAATGGTTGTCTTCTCAGGATTGTGGCTTGATTAGTCATTTGACTGATGCCCACAATGGGCTCAGCTGATACCCATTTTCTTGGTGGCAGAGCACAGCTGGCTCTATGCAAGGCCTAGTTCAGACTCCTCAGTGATGTTTTCCCAGGTCTTCCAGTACTATAGGTGCAGTTGGAAGCTTTGAAGCATGCTCATGAGTAGTCAGAAATAGTAAATTTTTTGTTCTACATTCAAACCAGGATATCCACCTTAGTGAGTGGGGCAGAGATATTTGTTGGGAATAAAGGAAAGAACAAGAGCAAAATTCATTACCAACTCCTCCTTCCCAACTGAATGCTGTTCCAGGTTTTAAACATCAGGGAAGTATTATCATGTTGGCTACTTATAGTAATTTGTGCCTCTTTGTTTGGTTTAAGAGCTAATTTATTTGCCCTCCCCAGTGCAGAATTCCATTTGAACACCTTCACTGTATTGTGTCTTAGAGAGATGGCAAAATATTATGGTTGTATTTTCTAAGATATTCTTGACAACATGAAGGACCCACCACTGTATTTTGCAAACGTCACCTAGTTTCATTTTGGGATTTTATATATAGTAATATTTTTTAGTATGTGAGAGGAGCCCTCCACTACTGTTTCTTCTATGAATTTTGATGGCTTTTCTCTTTCTTCTTGGTCCTTCCTCACCTCCAGAACTCTAATATGATCCCTTTCTGTGATTACTGGGAAATTTAATGGTGGGGCTTAAATGTCTCTGCAATTCTCAGGAAGTTTGAGTCTTGCCTGGGTGATGCAGATGTACAGCACCATTTATTGATCCCAGGCCTGTCCCATATTTTGGTGAAGCAGGGGCAGTTTAATTACAATACAGGATTTCACCCTTAATTTTTAATTTCCTGCTGGTTTACGTGACAGCCTTAACGTTGCATAAACGTGATCCCATGTGACTCCCTGGAGCTCAGGCAGCCATCCTAGAGTGCTACAGCAGGGGTTGGCAGTGGCTGGCAGGGGATCTGCCCAGCACCTTCCCTTCCCCTCTGGTTTGTGTACCCGGGGTGCTTTTGGTGTCACCCTGAGGGCTTTGGGCTTGGATGGGCCAGGAGGGAAGCACAACATGCAGGGAAGGGCTGAGGAGGGATGACACTGTGGTATGAAGGGAAGCGTGCCCCACTGGGGCAATGCACCTTAGCCAAAAAGCTGCAGCACCTGAGCTCAAGCATGTATCATACAAACCATCGGACTCTACAGCTCATGAGAATGGCTGTGGTCTTCTGCTGGTTTTTTTTTTTATTTCTCACTGGCAAAATTGCTAACCTTCTCACCTCATCAGTGTCAGCAGCTGGATATGTAAAAGGTAGAGTACACAGGCATGCGGTGAACAGAATCCGAGCATGAGCATTTACTTCTCTTGTCTCTTGTCCATGGGAAAGCTGCTGTGAAATGTGAAACCTCTGACAACCTTGACTGTTGCAGTCAAGGTCAAATGAGCACTAAATATCCTAAGACTTCAGCACGTGAAGCTTGTCTTGGTTTCTGTGGTCCTGGAGGGTGAGAACAGGATCAGACAGCTGTTTCACACCATGGGTACACGTCCTGTCATTGCTTACGTTTCACATTAACAGTGCCAATCTAGGCATTGGTTAGTTTCTTGGGTTTGGAGTTGGTTTTGTTTGGGTTTTTTATTTGGTTGGATTTGGGGTTTTTTATGACACTGTGTTATGGTATAGCTGGTACAATATCTGACAATATCTTACCTGATTAGGATGTTATTCCAGTTCACCTCTTTCTTTGCAATCAATAGGAGCATCCTGGCATGTTAGATATATTTTTATCTTCACTTTTCCTTTTAGTGAAATGGATAACTATTTACAGAAAACCTTCCTGCAGAAAAGAAATTTACATCTTGGTTCAAAGACAGAGTCCCTAGGAAAAATAATGGGGTTTTTTTTCTCCCCCCATTTTTGAAATCACAGCTGCTTGTTTCAGGGCACTGGGTCACTAATTGACTACAAGCTTCATAAATGTTGTTTGTCCTCCCCCCACAGGGCATACAAAACCATTGAGGAAGATGACTTGAAGTTTCCCCTTATATATGGAGAAGGCAAGAAGGTGGGCACATTTGCTTTCCTCAGACCAAAGGAAGAAGGAATTCTGTGCTGTTTGCCATTCAGTTTAGCCCATGGCTGTCCAGTGTTTTCCACTCAGTATCTCTTTATTTTATCGTTTTGACAGCTTGAAAGAATATCTTGGTTCTGTCATAAATCAGTCTCATGTCTGGGGGGTAGTGGGGAGAGCTCAACATAGTAATAACCGTTTTACAGCAGTCTTTTGTTGTTTAGTTTGCTTTTGTTTTTCTTTCATTGTAAATAGACTACAATGAGAGTGTCGTAAGTAATTGACTTTAAATGTTGCTGTTTCATTGTAAAATATAGCTAGAACAAAGCAGGGAGATATTTAATAGTGCTCTGAGATGCAAAACTCTAATTTAGGAAGAGGAGGGATCAGGGCAGGATTTGTAAAGTATAACACCTTTGACACTAGCTGAAAAAGATAAGGTTATGTGAACTCACTGTTGAATTTTTCTGACGTGTGAAGGCTGATAGTTGAAAGGGAGAAACGCTGTTCTGTTTGTTATGCTTTGTTTTCAGCTCTGTGATTAAGAACAGTGAGATCGTTAGTGTTGGTCCCAGCAAGCTTAGCTGGATGCAGCAGCAGGATCAATATAAGGATGCAGTGGTGTCAGTTTGCTGATATTGGTATGCTTGCTGTGTTTCTTAATAGTGCTCCTCTGCTGCATTGCATCTTATCTCAATGCAAAAATAGATGCTTTTCAAAATTAGTCCATGTTTTGAAGGTTCAGACCTGCAGCTTATCTCTGAATTTTGTTAAGTTTATAATTATTTGCAAAATGTTTCATGCACATCTTTTTAATTTACTTTCTTATGGCTCTGTGGAGCCAGGAGTCACTGAGGCAAAATGATTCTGAGTCAGTTGCTCACCATTAGTGATGCTGAGCTCCCTTGCTCAGAAGCTACTGTGGCTGAGCCTGAGTTTGGGGGAAGTGATCTGCAGAGCTCAGAGAGCAGGGTTCCCTGGGAGGCTGAATGGCTGGTCAGTCTTTGGAGCAGATTTAATGAAGGAGAGCCCAGAACCTCTTGGGACACCACTCATGTCACAGAGGAAGGTGCTGGGGGAAGGAAGTGGCAGATGTGAGGGAACTGCAGACCTGCTGTAGAGTGACTCTCCCAAGAAGAGAGCACTGTGGTCAGTGCTGCTGTCACGTGTGTCTTCAGCAATTTAAGGTGCCTTTGGCACTTTTCCCTGGTAAAGGGGATATACAACAATATGTCAATAGGAAAATACCACAGATTCATTATGTGAGTAGAGAGAGCTCCTTGTCCTCTTTGTAAAACCTATACTAACAGTACAATTTGCTGAAGGAATGCTCTCACAGACTGTTGTGGACAGTGAGGTGACTGGGTAAGGTTTCTGTAGACCCAGTACCTTAGAGATGGTGAGTGGGATGTGGATGAAAACAAAGCTTAATAAGGAGGAAAATGGAGATGGCTTGAGTGTGAAAAGTTTGACGTTGTTTTGCTGTGTTAAATCTAGAGTTTCTGGGAGGAGAAAGGGAATTCGTCCCTAACTGTAGCAGTTACAGAGTAGGAATATTATCTCATTCTTTATTGACACAGTCCATGTAACAAGATTTTATCCCACTGCTTTTCTTTATCTCCAGGCTCGGGTTATGGCAACAATTGGAGTGACTCGAGGACTGGGAGACCATGACCTGAAAGTGCACGACTCCAATATATACATCAAGCCTTTTCTGTCCTCATCTCCTGAGGTAAAACAGCCAAGGTTCAACTATCTGATTTGTGAGAGGGAAATAAATTTACTTAGTGTGTTTATTTGTTCTTCTCAAATCATCTCTTCTGACTGTAATCCAGTCCAGGTAACATGGTGCCCTTTCTGAAAGTGCAGCATGATAGTAACATCCACATAGTAGGAACTAAGTTCATAGTAGATTCTAAGTTCCCCAGCTGTGTGTTGATTGCTCCACATCCCTGTGCTATGGTTATTCCAAAGCCTTGCCATTCAGTGTGACAGACACCCATCTCTCCCTCCACCTTCATGTGCTGCAGCTCCCATAAAGGCCTAGATCATGCTGCCTTCACAGAAGATGTAAATCCCTGTACTGCAGAAGGGATGTCTTCCGCAGCAGTGTAGTATCCTGCTTTACACAGAGGATACCAGATCAACTCTCAAGCAGGAAAATTCCAAGAGTCATAGGAAGAGTACTTCATGCTTCCATCTGTATGCCCCTTAACCTTCAGTTCTTTTGATAGTTTTGTGCTAATACCAAATAATGACACTGTGCATTCCCAAATGATGGTGTTATGAGGAGACTATGTGGTATTTGGGTTAGGGGTAGTTTTAAATGCCTCCTCCATTTTGAATGGCCTCATCACAAGCAATTCCACCCACTTTTTGACCACTGGAGACCTTGCAGTGAAGGATATCAAGCCTTCCAAAGGGATTTAAATGTATTTGTTAACAAGGAACATGCAAGCCTTGCTTTTTTTCTCCCATTGTAACTGCATTCCTCCTGTTCCTACATCAAGGAACAGATGTCACATATTTTTCATAAAATATTAAGCAAGGGCAAACTATCTGATGACAGCACAAAAAGAGGCAGCTTTGCTTCCATGGCCCAAATGCTGAAAACTGTCCATTGTCAACTGGATTGCCAAAGTTTTAACCATACCCAGTATTTGACCTTGAATTTGTTGCTTGCTATAGCAGTATGAGAGAATGAAATCACACAAATAACATCATACTGCTAGGAAGGAACCAAATTATTAAATAAACCTTGCTTATAACATCTCCAAGGAAAATTTGTCATGAATGTTTCAGGCTGCTCAAAGAATCAGCAACAAAAGTATCAACAAAAGCAGGTTCAATATTAAAATGAAAGCACAACAAAGTTTGTTGGCAGGGTTCACTCTACTACTTACTAGATTGTTAGAACACACAGAGAAAAAATTGGACTGAAATCTAAAACCAATCAGTTGAAACTAAAGTTAGCCAAAAATTATGTATGTGGGAGCTGGGGACAAAAAACTTAAGGGTAAGGAAGAAGGATGAGGGAAAGGTTAAGGATAAAAAGGAATAAGGGAGACCCTCCTTTTGAGTCACAAGGTTCAGAGTAGACCCTCTTGCCAAATTTTTCCCCAGACTTGACCACTGGTTTAGGCCTAAAGGTTTTAACAAACCTTAATCAATAGCTGAATTTAAACAATTTAACAGAAGATTCTACAGAATTTACTGTAAGCACAACAGTTACTTACTTATAGGCTTAACTTACAAATCTACCATATTTAAGAATTTAGCAGAGCAACATTCCTAGTACCTTTGTTGTGTTATATTTACTCTCATAGGTACACAGACCTGAAAGAGTATGTACACCCCCTGCTGTGGTCCAGGAGAGCTCAAAGGCTCTCACTTGGACCCACTGTTTATAGGGTTGCACAAAAGTTGGTTTTAGCCGCGTTAATTTTCCATTCTGGCTGCAATTTGGGTGATAACTTTCTCTGAAAGTTTGATAACTTTGTTAGGATGTTGTTCCATTTGGGTTGTTATCCAGGTAAGAATAAGTTTCCAAGGCTGTTTGAAAAATGCCAGGGGCTTGTTAGACAGCACAAGTTTCTAGGAGCAGACAGTGTTTCTGATAAGCTTGAGAGAAGCTCAGCCCAGGTGCTGCTCATCAAGGCCAAGGCCTGACAGCATTTCTGAGATGATAGTCTGGCCTGAGGAGAGGCAGGGAGGAAGGATGCACCACCACAATCCACCCCACAACTAAAGGCCATCTGGCTTACTCCACAGAGTGGCGATGTCGTCCCCTCTTGCCTCCATGCCTATAAACAGAGATATAAAATTTATGTATATTTATATTTATTATATATAGATTATATGTAAAATTCCAATTATAAAAATAAAATTTTTAGAAGTGCTGAGAGAACCCAGCCCTGAAGAAAAGAGGGAGATCTACAGATAGCTCCTTCTTCATGTTTCCTTGCTATCAATTGTGTACTTTCCCCCTTTGAATGTGTGGTGTCCCTCACTTGAGACCTGCTCCTGTTCTCCTCGGCCAGGCAGGCAGGAGCTCTGCCCTCATCACTGTGATGGATTTAATGCCAGAAAAATTATGCAATTCCACCTATTTATTTCTCTTTCTGGTTGCTGAGACTCAGTGTTTCTGGGGTACGTAATGGCTGCAGCACAACATCCCAGCAATTTCATCTCTGCCAATTGCTGCCGCAGTGTTTGTGTGTGTCTATAAACCAAAGCTTCTCATGGGCTTTTCTGATTTGTGGGGAATGTGTCTGTACATGTTCAAATTCTGGAATGTGGCATCCAGTTCGTATGCTAGCCATGTTTCAGGATCTCTTAACTGCTTTGCAAAAGGGAAGCAAAATTGGCTTTGTTTCCACATCCTCTTCACAGCTAAATTCAGCAGAAATGTATGAGGGCAGGAGGAGGAAAGACAGAGCACCAGCCACCTTAATTTAGAGATATTGGCAAAAAAACCCTGAGTATTATTAGGAAGTAGCATATGCTCCAACTTGCTTTCTATTGCATCTCCTCCTCTTAATCATCTCTTGCTTCTCTTCCCAGAGAGAGCTCCAATGCTTTAACTCTTCATGTTTTTTCCTGACTTGTTCTGTCCAAACATGGGCAGTGCACCTTGCACAGAAACTGGCATTAAGAAACAACATCTTTATTCTGCCACCTGGGAGGCTTGGCATTTGGAAGCGAAGGCAGTGGTGTCAGGCAGCAGTCATATTTGGTCCCTGTGCAGCACTGGATTCTGAATTGTTTATATAGAGGTAGGGAAGCACAGTGTGTGGTTTCCAGACCTGGAAAAGGGGAGGCACAGGAAATTAAGGCACAGAGTGAGTCGTGACAGAGGGAAGATCCAAGTCCTCTGGCTCCCGTTTCTGTGCCGTAATTGTAGTGTTCTTTCTTGAGTAAGGGGCGGTGTGGTGAGTTTTCTGAACATTTTACTTCCAGTGTGACAAAGTTCTGGTGTGCCATATCCACCAAAATTTAGCTTAAGGAAAGGTAAACATCCCTGAGACTACATCCAGAAATAGGCATATAATAGTAATTTGAGGGTGGTGTGAAATGATACTTTGACAGAGTGCCAGGCTATGGGAGGAAAAGTCATGCAGCCAAGATGACAAATGTAATCAGTATTCACTGGCTCAGCTGTTATGAGACCAGATTTGGAGGACTTCTGCAGGTTGGTGAGCTCTAGAGATTTGAACCTTTTATAATGAACTGGAGTAGCACAAAGCAGGCAAGCCATGGCTGAGGCTCTCTGGCATGGAATTAAATATTTATTTTTCATAATGGAACAGTTAATTTGAAAGCTTTCAGCAGGAAATTCTGCTTTTCAAAACTTAGAGCTGCCTTGTTGCGGATGAAAGGCAGAATTTTATCCCAAAATATTTTGAATGGCATCTCAGCTATTTGGTGGGGAAAGATGTGGCTCTGATGGCAGCATTTGGCCCTTGCCAGCAAGGCACCCAAAGCCAGCCATCAGAGTAAATGATATGAAGGTAATGAAGAAAAGTTTTTGTTATTCCAGTGTTCATAAAATCTTTCTGACAACTTCACAAATATGTCCAAGGAGACCATTTTAGATTCATATCTGCCTTTTGGAGAAATCCTCAGGAATTACATCATCCCAAGGAACAAATAAGGCAAATACACAGAGAAGAACAGTATAATCAAAGGGAGTCTAAGTGGCTTCAGGAAGCAAACATCACACTTAAGTGGCTACAGGTCCTTGAGGTTATGTCAACAACAGAATTAAAATAATAATAATAATTAAAAATACAGTTGATGCTCTTGCATGAGCACTTTGATTCCTCAGAACATTTGAGAAACTGTTGTGCATCACAGGTTATTAATATAAAAGATATGAAGCTACAGACAAAGTGGAAAGTTGGCACAGTCTACTGGAAATAGGCTAACAGGCAGGAAACAAAGGGTGGCAGTAAAAAGCTAAAAGGAGATTAATTGGTGAATGCTGCAGGGACCAGTGTTGGGACCCACTTTTTATTATTTACATATAAATTACATGGAGAGTGGTATTGAAAGATCTCATCATTTGCCAGGAAAGCTGCACTGGATAACACTGTGCATAAAAGGGATGATACAATTAAGAAAGGGCTTAATTTATTGAAGTAGCGGGGTTGATCAATAGTGCAGGGTGTGAATGCAGGCTGTTGTTCAGCTGAAATTCCCTGAGGCCAGCTGCTGAGGAGCACCTCAGGTGGCTGCAGGCTCACATGTCACTGTTGTGAGCGGTTTTCCAGCCGCAGGGACTTGCCTTGGCTGCCTCTTAAAAACAAGCGTGGCCAGCGAGGCACAGCGCCTTCGCAGGGCTGCCGTGCTCCTTCGCAGCAGCCAAAGGCTGGGTTTGTCTGGTGGGTGGATCTGTTTGAAATGTAAATAAAAACCAGCCCACCTGTTTGTTAATTGCTTGCCCAGAGCAGTTTTCTCAGTGCTCTTGACTGCATGTAGGTAATATATAATATGAGAAACAAGTACCTGGATTGAAGAAGAATGTTATTTGACAAACCGCATAATGCATGTTCAGAAAGATGTGTATGACTATGGGCTCTGGAGGTGTGTATCCACTGTTGCCTGTCAGCAGATCTGTAAGTACTAATCAGGTTAAGTAGTATTATTCTATCTGTAGGATATAAGGGTAACCCTTATATCGCTGTGGCTTGATGGTTGGCTGTGCTGCTGAGGTTCTTCTGCTTGTTCCTTACAGTTTTTACATTTTCTGGTTGCTGATGTCAGGTTCAGATAGTTAACAGGTCAGCTACTTTACATCAACAAGACATCAGCAGATGGGAAAAGTATGGTGACCGAACTTGGCTTCTTCCAGAGCTGCCCTGATATTCCAGAGAGATTAATTTAAATGAGTGAGAAACTCATTCTTCACACAGAAGGGATTGGTAGGCTGGAGGGAGTTGCTGAGAGGGCTCTCAGGACATCATGGGAGGCCAAGGACACAAATTCTATTCTGCAGTGATATCTGGCTGCAGAAGCAGCGATTCACAAGGAAAAGACTATAAAGATTCAAGATGGCATTGTTAGGAAATTTGTCAAGGGTGCTGCACCAGTTAAGGAAACATCTGCAGTGCCAGTCATTGTCCAGCCAGCTGTCACCTGAAGGAGCAGGGTTCTGCAGTGTGTGAGCAGCTTTGCACAAACTTGTGTCACAGACAGAACTTTCCTTAAATGTCGCGCTTTACTTCTCTGAAATACAGCTACGGGAAGGAGGCAGTCATTGGGAATGTTTACTTTGGAATCTAAAAAAATTAAATAGTAATTTTCATTGCAATCATTGAACTGCTTTTGTTCATGTAAGATTTAAAGGGCCATGGGTTCATTCCTGTTGCAGGCACTTAGGTAATTCCCTGGATGTCTCCTCATACTTCAAAACTGTGGCATATCATACTCCTCCCTTTTTTTGTACAGTGTGGAGTGTGCTGTGGGTGCTGCAGAACATGGGATGTGTGTGGAGTGGGTGTTCAGTGAGCCCTGCTGGGCTGAGCTTCCATTCCACGTGCCCTGGTGGTGCTGCCCAGCCTGTGTGCCTCCAGGAGCTGTGCTGTCACCCTGCTCCAAGCCAGCTGAAGGCACTGGGTGCTACTGCAAGAGACCCTCATTGACCCAAGCAAGAACTAGAACAAAGGTGCTGGCAGAAGAATGAAGGGTTAGGAGCTGGTTACTTTCTGCCCCTGGATGAGGCAGTCTGTGAACATAACCTGACCCTGCAATAGACTGGACAGCTCTAACTCTTTTTTGTCAGAAACATATTAGGGGCACCTACAGCTGTATTTAAGAAAGCCAAGGCAAGACACAAAGAAAGGACTTAAGGTAACTGGAAGGCAGATAAAACTGCATTCATTGAATGTTTTGTTGCATGCCCTACTGGTCCTTATATGCAACAATTTTGCATCAGTTGCCCCAAGCTTGTCCCCTGTAACCTTGGTACTCTCTTTTCCTTAGCCTGGGGTCTAGCCAAACACCTCACTGTCCTCTGTGTCTTTTCTGACATCTAGTTTCTTCTCAACATGTGCCTTTCTGCTGGAGATGCCCACTTCACAAAGCTTGTCCTTTTAGAAAGTACCCTACCTTCTTCCTAGATTACACAATAAATCAGGGAATGCATTTTTTTTCTTGTTCCCCTAAAACAAAACATATTCTTCATAAAATGGTCTCTTCTTGATCTTGCTCATGGGCTGCCTGCAGGTAGCTTTGAAAATTTTCTCATCCATCCCAGTGCCACTCCTCAGTCAGACAAAATGGTTGATTTCGGGAGGATTCCAATCAGTGATGCATGGTTTTGCTTTCCACCTTCTTCCCCATCTAAGCTGCAAAAATGGATCCTGTGATGTAATGTGTTTTTTGCCTCGGTTGGGATGTGCTCTTCCCAGCACAGATGTTTGAAACTTGGTTAGCCCTACCAGGGGCTTGGTGCTGAGTGATCCCTGAGCATTAACTGTGATGGTTTCTCAAGTATTTGCTGGTCCCCAAGAGATCTGACCAGAACATGTGGTGTATATTGATGGTTGTGTTGGCCAACTCAGCCTTCACACTCCAGTGATTTCTGAGTTGCAACTGTGGCCTGTTAAGGCTGAAATAAATTCTGAGAGACAGGGACTATGGCAGCTACTGATTTCTGTACAATAAGCTTGAGATGAGAGCTGTGCTGCATATAGGGGTCTTTTCTATATTCCCACTCAAGTCTGAATAAGCAGATATGCTCTAATGAGGAGAGTATCTTGCCTTGAATTTAATCCTCTCCAAAGTCCTTATTCAGCTGCTACCTTAGATAATGAAGTGAAGGTTACATTTTACAAATGACCTTCTTGTGCTTTAGAGTGAAAGGCGAACTGGTAAGGATTAGCAGTCAGATCTAGGTGATTTTTTTATTTTTTTTTTCTGTGGTACTGGTTGAAGTCCCATAAAAGCGTAATTACATTAAAAGGTCCAGGCATTTTATGTGCATTGCCTGCTCCATGGCTCCTAAGGGGAGAGTGCACCATGAGGGAGAATAAAAGAGCTCATATTTTCTTGTTATGCCCAGTGCTTGTCCTGACTAACTGCTGTTAGTGGAGTCCAGGGCTGGAGCAGGATGCATGACGAGGTGCACCATTTCTGAATTTCAGTATAAGTGATCCTTCCCTCCTGTCTGCCTTACTGTAGTTGCTGCAGTTCTTTCAAACTGTGACTGTTGCTGTGGTAATTAAAATGCTCTGTGGGTGTTTCCTAATGGCTCCCCATCACAACCTGGGAATTGCAGGCATTTCTCAGCTGGAGTACAGCATGTGCTGGAAGGGGAGTTACACCAAGCTAAAGGCTTGTTTTAAATCACTTTCTATGGCCTTTGCTGCATTCTGGCACAGCTGATGGCCCTGCAGAAACCCCCACCTTGACTGCCTCCACCACTCTCAGCCTCTCTGGGAAGAGGATGGTGGAAGTTGTTTTAAAAGGCAGGCTGTGAAGAGGTGCCAGCAGTGATCAGCCTGACTAGGGCTGCAGACAGACAAATTGAAGTCAGCGGGTATTTTAATAGTGCAAATAAGCTTCACTTTTGTGCAGATCCTGAGTTGGTCTGTAGTGCTGAAATCCTTTCAGATACATGTGACTGAGCAGTTTTTCTGCATTTCATGGAACCACTCACTTGCTCAGGCCAAACTCGAGTGCAGCAGCTGCCTCAGGTTTAGAAAAGTGAATGCAGTGCCGGCTGTCACACAGGCACTTCCAAACATGCAATCTGGCAGGCTTAAATGGATCAGGACAAATAGTGAAAACAATTATTTGTGAATATTTTATTAGAAAATATCAAAAATTCATCAAATAAATTATTCAGCTTCCATATGACTAGTCCTGCCAATGATAGGGAGGAGCTGCATGCACTGAAGCCAGGCTGGGGTGGGGGAGGCTTCAAGTGCTTCTGGCATCAGACAGCAGAGAGCCTTAGAGCCTGGTTTGGAACACTTGATCCATCCTGTCTGGGGTTAGCACCTGAGCCACGCTGAGCTGCAGCAAGAAGGGCTGCATTGAGACAGGCTCCCCCAGTGCCATGGGAGGTTAGGTCAGTGCCCTGGCTGCACCTGATAAACTCACAGCCAAACTCAGCAATGTTTCACAAACAGGTCTGACAATCACCTCCTTCATGAATGTGCCTTGGGTTTTTGTCTTTTAGGTGCGAGTCTATGACCTCCTGCAGTACGAGCATGGGCCGGATGATGTCCTGATCCTAGCTACTGACGGACTCTGGGATGTGCTGTTAAATGAAGAAGTGGCAGAAGCTGTCACTAATTTTCTACCGAACTGTGACCCTGATGATCCCCACAGGTTCGTGCTCATCCCCCCTTTTCTAGATTCTCCACAGAAGAGCACTTTCTGGTAACATGTTTTCATAGCAAGTATGATATGAATAACATTTGGGAAATATGCAACACTTACAAGAAGACATTTTATATGGATGGAGCCTCTACAGCAAATGTGAGCAGTTGGAGCAGGGGCTGGCTCTATTATAACTAGAAATGCCTGCCTTCAAAGGAGTAGGTGTGGGATGACAGTATCATGGCATGGGATCCATTTTGTTTGCTGTATGAGGTCCTGTGAAAACTGTAGGAGGCTGGGGTCTTGGAAGAACATGGGAACAAGTCTCTCGCCTGGACAATGCATAACACTAAATATTGTTTCTCAGAAGGACATCCTCAACATCTCCCTCTCTCTCACTGTGTATGTACATAAATACTGCACACTGTGATTCCCACTCATTCCTAGTCATGGTGTGACCTTTAAACCCACCTTCCAAAGAGGATGCTCAGTGCTACCAGCTGCAGGATTGGTGTGGTGACAAAACAGGTGGAAAGTCTGACTTGTATTTCATTTAATTAGATCCTGCTTCATTTCTTCATTTTAATCTACCTCATGCTCTTCCTTTTTCTACCTTTATCACATCTTGGATTATCAGTTTCTGTCCTTAAAACATACCATCACGTGAACAAACAAGATCCCAAACAACCATCTAGAGGCTTTCTGCCTTGAGTTTGTCCATAGGTTTGTCTGCTAATGAGTTCAGTGTCACTGTGAATAAAAACATTGTGCCAGAGATCAGAAGTCTCTTGTTTGTAAATGGGACTGTGAAAGTGGAAAGAGCTTTATTTGTTCTTAGGGACTGTTCAGGAAGGGAAGGCTGTGTTGCTAATGAATATAGGGCCATCTACCATTTTGTTCTGCCCTCACCCTTGGCTGAGAGCAGGAGAGATTTTACACATCCCCAGTTGGTCTGTGGAAAGTGGAGTTTCAGAAACAGCTAAGACTGATCTGATAATGCTTGCTGTTTCTCATATTTCTAAGTGGTCGTCTTCACAGGGCCAGCCCTGTTCATCAACAGACAAGGTAACTGGGTATGGATACCTTGACAGTGACTTGGGTTTTAAAGGGAGAACACCTTCAAAATGACTCAACAGCAGTATTTTCTTGCTCTGACACTTAAAAATATGAAATGCAAAAACAGGTTTTTCTGCAATTATTGGGAGAATGGAAGATTGATGATTATCATGAAGCTGCAACTGCAATATTTTGACTTTGCCCATCTCCTTATGCCAAAGATGAGGTGTATGAATGACGGCCCCAGGCCATCTCTACCTCAGCAGACATGCAGCTGTGCCTGCCCTCTCTCTGGGAGGAGATCAGACAGGATCAGCTAAGGGCACTTCCAGGGCATCAGGCCGAGTGCAATGCAGATGTGCCATTAATTTAAGGTAGGAGGAGATTCCCTGTCTAGTCGACTTTCAGTTATTCCCTAACACCATTCAGAAAAGCTGTGGTGCTTTTGTTCTCATTCCTTCACCCTTGAGATTCTTGCAGAGGCACCTGGTAGTAACATGCAATACCTCTGTCCTGCTCTGTCTCCATTCTCATCTGGTACTTGGGAAAGGTTGGCCCTGCCTTCCATCCTCACCAGTCCCATCTGTTGAGAATATAGTCAGGGTGCGTTGGGTCTCTCTTGTTCCTTTTGGTCTTTACTAAGGTGATGGTGATGGCCACCATGGTTGCTGCAGTAGGAAGCAGGATTCTTCAACCTTTTTAACTTGTTAGGTGAGTTATTTCATCCATTATAGAACACTCAGGGCAATGAGAGACACTAAAGGAAAATTGTATTTTCTTTGTTTTGATTTAGATTTTCTCCTACTGGTTTAGTAATTGTGGGGGATTAGTCACTGTTTGTGCCAGCATGAGTACCACACATTCCAGAGCTAAGCCTGCTGTTTATAACTTAGAACAAACACATTTATTGCTGTTTGACCTACTGGTCTTTGAATGGACATCTGAATTGTAAATAAATTTGTTCTTTTAAGCAACTTTGTGCCAGATCGTTTAGAGGCTTACAGATAGTGATGGCAAGACATTTCTCATGGCAGCATGCAAAAGGTAATTAGAGCAGTCTCTCATATAGTTTACAATGATATTTATGAAAATTACCTTTGTGAGATTGCTCTTGCTGCTTGGTTGTAAAGAATATTTAAAGGTTTTAAAGTACTATGTGAGAGGTTCTTTGTAATTATTTCACAGTGGTCTAAATGAGGTATAACTAATGAATTTACTGTAGCATTCCAGCTCAAGCTGTGGAGCTGCCTTTATTCCTCTAACTAGTCAGTGACAGAAAAATCTCCTTTGCTGTATTATAAATATTATGTTTAAAGGAAATGTTATCCCAGAAAATGTCAGGTTCTGTGATGGGTGCAGTGATATAATCTGTGGTGAGGTGATCAGCTGAAAATGTAATATCTCTAGGGATGTAGAAAACTTGTCAGAATGTAAGAGACTTGCACCCTGGGTTTGGCAATGCTATGGTCTTCAGGAGAACCAACCTGTGGAGCAGCCTCTGGATTCCATCTGATCCAATAGCCTACTTATTTCCTGACAGCAGCATATTAGAAAGGAAAAGAGAAAAAAAAAAAAGCCTAGAGAGGATTTTAGAGCTGCAGAGTACTTATCTGTTACATAATTAGCTCCTTGCGGGACCAATATCCCTCCCATTTGAATTAGAAGTCGCTTTATAGGCTGATGGGTAAGAGCTTACAGCCCTCAGCAATGCTCTTGGGACTCTCTCCTGGTGAGTATTTGTTGCCCACTTAAAAACATTTCTGAATTCTGTCAAACATAGCATGTGCCTGGACATCTCCAAGTGCAGCGAGAGCAAAGTCCTCAGGTCTCTCTTCATCCAGCCATGCAGACGCAGCCTCAGGGCATTTGGGCACTCACTTGTTTAGACAACAGTTCCTGTGTGAGGGCTGTGATGGAGTGAAGAGGCTGGGATGGAGCAGGATTTCTTAGCCAGCTCATTTCTCCTGGGTCTTGTGGCAGATGAGCATTTCGGGGCTCCTAGCAAAGGACAGGTGGCAGTGCCACTGCTGCTGTCCATACATCAGCTCTCTGAAAAGGTGTGAAGATGGAGAACTGTGACTTTTGCCAACTTCCTTCAGCTGCATCTATGTACATTTGCCCCTGTCCTTGGGAATCTTTTACTTCTCATCCTTCTTTTTGTCATTTCTTGTCCCCTTGTTTTCCTTCTCACTAGAGATTTATGAGGATGCTGAGGAGCTCCTCCACCTCTGCTGGGTGTGAGGAGATAAGAAGCTGCTCAGACAGCAGCACGATTCCCCCACTGTCACCATTTCTCCTTCAGTACTTTCACTGATCAATGCAGAAAGCTTTGGCATAAGAAAGAAACCTCCATATATTTATTCTTAAAACACAAAAGTTGTAGTCCAGCAAGGCTATTCATTAGGAGGAAGTGGATACTTTAAAACTACTTCAGCAGTTCTCTAATGCTGTCTCGACAGCTGAATCCCAATTTCATAGCACTGGAGAATAAAACATTCAGTAATGGACTGCAGCTACTATTCATCTCCAGGTACAAGAGACTCACCCTATCTCTTCTAGTGCCAAGTTGAACAGCTTTGCTTCAATTCAGCTCTACACAGGAGAGGAATACTTTACTTCACTACTGCCTTCACCTGTTCCTTTTTTCTTTGCTTCATTGTACTGATTTTCTTGAGTATTTCACAGTTTGTCTACACGAGAATTTCATGTTTATTAAAATTCCTTTTTTTTATCTTCCCCTCTCCAAATATTCAGCAGCAAAAGCCAAATACAATCAAAAGCAATACTCACTCCTTTGTACTCCTTAGATGTGGAGAGTCCTTGTTAATTAGAAAAAGCAGGAAGGCAAAGTTTTCTTGCAGAATAATGGGTGTTTCTTTCTTAAATTCTGACAATAGCTGAGAAATCTTTGGGAAATATGTTCTTGCCAGAATTCACTCAGCATCAGACATGCTGTGAATAAATATTTCAGTTTCTTGCTTGCCACGTGGAGTCCTTTTGTTCCTTAGCCCTGCATCTGATTTGAGAACTGAGGAGTGCAAGTATGTATGTTTGGGTTTTTTTCCCTTAGAAAACACAATTTCATGTTGCATTGGGACAGTAAGGGCAGTGCTTCTTCTTACATCCTGATGTTCTAGCTCGAGGTTGTAGCACAGACTGATCTCAGTGCATGTGTGTATGCAAGCATGTGTGTTAGATTTCATGTCTTTGGGCCCTTCTTTTACTGCTAAAGTAAGTTATTTGTCAAAACTAGTGAGGCCTGGAAATTTTATCCCTCAGTACCATCAGGAACAGTGGGTGCATTGCTGCTGTACAACATTATTTGAATTTGTCATCAGACCTTTTGAGTAGTCAATCGTTGGTTCATTTACATTGAAGAAATCTTTCTAGTAGAGCATCTTGATTCAAAGGAGTCCTCAGAGTTCAAGGCATCAAAACTCTAGGCACAAAACATGACTGGGTGTTTTTTTTCTTCTTTTATCCCCAGAGACTGAGTAAAGTCTCTATGATGGAAATTACAACTTAATAAGGAATTCTATGGTGAAAATTTCTAAGGTTAGAAGAATCCTAGGTAATTGATAAACCTAAACACACACACACAGTGCTTCTGATCAACAGAAATATTGTTCTTTCCCTTTCTACAGATGAGATGTAGGCAAATAATTTCTGGTCAAGGATCCTCCCTAGAAAAGAGGGTATTGAAATGGAAATCCTTCTTGTCCTTTCTGGTTTTGGAAACACAGAGGTGTGCTTTAGTTCTGGAGGCCTGTGTGTCTGCCTTCATAGAGCCCTGCATCATCCTGGAGGTTGATACTTACACTTTTAATAAAAACCATGCAGACTGGGTTTTTTTCTTGTCACTCTTTAAACTATTCAGTTAATTTTAATTATCAAATCACAGAGAAGCTTGCCTCCACGCAATCCAATTCAAAACCTCTTGGCCAGGTGTTGGGCTGACAAAGTAAAACACATGGCAGTAGCTGTTCACCCATAATGAGATTTCTTTCAGAGGAAACTTCTAAGTGAGTACACAGATGTGTTGATGTAGTAACAGCAGGTAAAGCAGTAAGGAAAAACATGAGAGCACTGTCTATGCACCTTTTGGGCTCTGGCACCCTTCTGCCCCCAAGCAGCATGTGGTAGTTTTTCAGGACAGAAAAATAACTCCCATAAATCCTATGCCACTCAGCCCACCACAGGCTGGAAGTTTTGAAGCAATGTGAAACTTTGTATTTCACTAAATTAAGCACTTGACCACTCACATTCGTGCAGTTTTCACTGAACTCATAAATGTGAAAGAACTGTGGGACTCTGTTAATCTGATCATATTAACTGTAAGTTTCCTTTTCCACTTTCAGAATAAAAGATATTTAAAAGTCATTCCTATGGTCAAGAAAACAGACAAGTTGGTCCTAAAGTGAAATTTGGATTTTATTTTTATGCTCTATTACTTGCTGTCAAATTGCTTTCTTCGTTATAGCTCATTTCTGAAATAGTTGAGCCATGTTTACTTTCAGAGGTGTCAGTGAACAAGTCTGTAGTTTTCAACAAGTAGTGTTATTGGTGTCCTCAATTCTTCAGACTGCTACTAGAAAGCCAATTTGTTAAGGCAAGCATGTTTAATATTTTTCTGAAGATTGGTGAAGCCAGGCACTTAGAACAGCCAGTGACTTTTGATCAAGTGGTGCCTGTCAAATAGCTTTACATTCTTATTCAGGAACTGTCACTGAACTGGAGGGAGTTGCTTTGTGCATATGCCGTGGTTTGTGTTTCTCCTGCCTGCTTGTACTATACTGGGAAGCATGTCTTGGTGGGTCACAGCATCAGGTCTGGCAGGCAGCAGGCTGTGCAAGCCCAGGTGCTCACGGAGGCCTCCGTCCCTGGGTGCCCTGTGCCCTCTCCGCAGGTACACGCTGGCGGCGCAGGACCTGGTGATGCGGGCGCGGGGCGTGCTCAAGGACCGCGGCTGGCGGATATCCAACGACAGGCTGGGCTCCGGGGACGACATCTCCGTCTACGTCATCCCTCTGATCCACGGCAACAAGCAGGCCTGAAAGGAGCGCCAGGAGCGGTCACAGGACGGGATCTTTCTGGGAAGGGCCTGAAAGAGACAAGAGGTTTTTGGTGGTCTGACCAGGACACTTCCAGTTGATATAATCTAGTCAAAACTAATGCTGGAGGGGTGTTTTTCTGCCCAAAAGGTAGGGTTCTGCACATATACTGTATATGATTAAAGATAACCCTTAAGATTCCAATTTCCCTACAGAAGCGGTTTTGGTGCTTAACAGGAATGGGATTTAAATGCTGCTAGCATATTATGAATTCTGTCATCCCTCTAGGTGGGGTGGGGAATTAATTTTTTTTTTTTCTCAGTTTACCATGTAGCTTGGAAGAGCCATTTCAGTTGTGAAAGTAGAAGTGGGTGTCAGAAGCCAAGGAGGCTTCTGAAATCTACCCCCAAATATTCAGAAGGGGGCTTGGGTCACATCTCACTTAAGAATATAGATATACATATATGAGACTCAAGAGTTTTCTTTCAGAAAGTTGTATTCATGACTTATCTATGGGCAACTTCAAACTTGTGTAATCCTTTGAGCCCCCATTTTCCTCTCCTGTCTCTTCTTCAGTAGACTATACCTCCTGTATTTTAGTAGGAAAACTGAAATTGGTTTCAGTGTAACTATGCCTGTTTACTGCAGCTAAAAGCAGTCACCTGCGAAGTTTTCCAGGAGAAATAGGTCACAGTCCTGTATGGCAGAATTTATTCTGGGGTGAGGAGTTACTTGTCAAGATTTCTTGTTGTGTGTATACCATGATTATACAGAGCATGCAAACTCAGCTTTATGTGATGTTTACCTGGAGGCTGGGGTTTCTTTGGGATCAGAGATTTACATTCATTGAATGGTTCTGCCTGCTTTATCCTGTTGAAAGGATCCCTGACCATAAAATTTTTGCATCAGTTGAGATTTAGTAAATTTGTTTGGGCTCCTGAGTGTGTTTTCAGTTGGACTTCTATTTGAAGTAGTGGTATTGTTCTCATGAGCAATTTGGATACACAGATAGTGATCTATTTCAAAGGTGTTTCAGTTCTTCCTGCCTCATTTATTATTCAGTACACCTTCACCTACTCTCCTGTGGTGATCAGAAAGGGACAGTTTAAAACTTTCTGTCCTCTTGGCACTGAGAATTGTACTCAAGGATCACAAGATGACTGTGGTAGATACAAGCCCTTGGCTTGCTTCCGCTCTTTTCTTAGCAGTGATAATTCAAATAAAGAAAATCTGTGTAAACATTTTTGACACGAAAGCAGTAGCCCAGGAGAGAAACAAGTGAGCAAGTCTGCAGTGTAACCTGGCTGCCCAGTCCATGCAGGCAGCTCTCTTCACTGCTAGGAATTTAAGAGAAAACAAAATCAGAAAGTTCTAGCATACAGGCAGGTATATTGGCTGGGGACTCAGCTCCCACCTGATCTGTGCCCAGACCACATTGGTGTGGAGCTGTTCATCTGGTTTGTACTTCTCCAATAAGAACAAAGACAGGGAGCTGACATCACTGTAGGGCACTGAGTAGGGAGCTCACAAAGGTTGTGTCCTTTCCAAAAGAGAAGGAGATGCTGTGCCCTTTGCAGGCTCTCTCCTGGGCAGGTGTGGCCCAGCGCTTGCCAGTTCTGTAATTTATGATGTGCTGTGTAAACACGGCGCAGCCCGAGTGTGCTGCAGCTGCCCAGATGCTGGACTTGACTGCATCTGGAAGTACAGTTTGGTGGATTTAAACTGCTCTTGCTGCAAATCTGTAGACCCAGAAGAGTTTCAGGATGGAAGCAGGCAATGTGGAGAGTGGAATAGCTCAAACGTTGCAGCAAGCTGCGTGATTCTGGCCTGAAAACTGTACTATGAGTTCCCCAGTGCCTCATGTGATAAAGCTGTACAGAACATGGATGTTTTACATTCTAGAGCTTCAGCATAAATCAATGGCATATCTGATTGTGTCTTTTTGTGCTTTTTTCCTGATTTTTTTTCTCTTTACCTCTTTTTCTGTGTGCATCTGGGTGAAAAAAGAGGCTTGGAGTCTAGAATATTTTTCACATGACCCCTCATACATTTTAAAGTTTAAGCAAGAGATCTTCTCTTGCACTTTCTTTTTGGCCTAATAAACTTATAAACATGCTTCTCATGCTCTATGTAACTCCTGTTGTCTCCTCACAAATGCACTTGTGTAGTCCTCTAGCAATTCAGATCCTCTTTGACAAAGAAATTAGTGCTGACAAAGCAAACAGCAAAGATGCTGGTGCTTGCTGGTACCAACTACAAGCCCAGGTCAAATATTTCAGTGTTGATGCCCTGCTGGTCTTCATTTGGTAACATGGTGTCAACACACATACCAGTTGCTGTAAAGCCACTGAGTTCCACCAATGTGATGGAAATAGATTTCCAGTAGCATTTGCCAAAATTTGAAAGTGAAATTTTAATAGCAATGGAAAAGGCACCTTCTCATTCAGGGGTGTTTTTAAATGTGCCCCTGAAGAAATAGGTTAGCAGACTGCATGTCTTGGTGGGAGCAAACTGGCAGGTGACTTCTCAGAGCATGATCTGGTGGGCTGGGGAATCAGCCTGCACGGTGTTTGTTGTTCATCTGAGGCATTGCCATCAGTCAGGAGCTTCTCTGCAGCAGCTGGGCCCAGGTTGAGTTACATTCATTCCCAAAAAGGGCAGAAATACAGTATCAACAATTAGTATCAATTAATGATTCTGAGAACCTTCATAAAAGATTTTATCCTCAGATGTATATGACTGAAACTATGCCATGACACTTTTTGTTTTGCTTTTTTGGAAAGTACCTGTTACATAATTAGGTGCTTGCCTCCCTGGAGTGTCTGGCACATCTCTGATCCATGCATTAGTACTTGGGCTTTCACTTTTACCTGCTTTCAGTAGGAGGTTCTTGCATACCTGAGCTGGGATCTGGTGCTCTGCTTCAAGGCATGGTGTTAATACATATTATTAGGCTCACAGAAACAGAAGGCAGAAGTCATCTATTGGGGAGGTATTCTTATTGAGGAGAAGCAAGAATAATTAAAAGCACTTCAAATTCCCTTCAAAGGCTGAATTACTTTGCATTACACAGCATTAGGAAAGACTGATGGCAGGGAGGATTCCTGGTGCACAGTGCCATTTTTCAGATGCAGGATGGGCACTGCATGTTCAGACTTGCAGCTGCTCTAGGGCTCAGTGAAGCTCCTAAGTTAGGAGCAGACAGCTTGTGTCCTCAAACTGGAGCAAGTTAGGCACTAAGTCCAAATTTTAGATCCTTGGCATGTCATCTTAGCTGCTGCCTGATGCTGACAGTGCTCTGGCTTTTTGCCAGTCAAGTTCTCTCAGTATCCAAAACTGCCACAGCCTCAGCAGCAAGGAACCTGAGTCTCAGTTACATCTGCATTCATATTGCTATTGCACACAGTGCTCTGCCTTGCCTGTGCTTAGAAAGTTGGGCAAATTCTTGTCCTTCCTTGGATAATGGCAAGGAAAGGTGCCAGTAAAGGAGTTTTGTTAGCTGCAGTGTAGCACTGTCTTCTGCTGCCGAGTCCAGTCCCATTTCTAGAAACTCAAAACCAAGAAGCTTTTACCATTCTCCCAGAAATACTGTTGCAGAAAGTAGAGCAGCCATTTCAGATGTTTTTCTCTTGCACTACAGGCTAAAATTTTCTTTCTTTAATTTTATTAAGAAGGTGGTTAGAAATTTAATTTACACCAGATTATGTAACACACAATCATCTTTTGGTGCATTAAGACAATAATGCTTCCTTCATGAACACAAAAGTGTATTGTCTGAGAGGGCTGCTCTTTAGTGGCCTCACACTGGAGATTTTTTTTTTTTTTAATAAATTCTAAGAAACAACAGGGCTAACAGACTAAATGAAAAGTGGTCAGAATGTGCTGTTAATAGTGGATTTCCATTTGCAGTTACTTCTGTGTAGAAATATGACAAGAAGTTTTATGAGGTACTGTCAGCTCTGTCCCTCCAGGATATTTCTGAAGAACTGCTCTTGATGTTTGGGCAGATTTTGGCTCTGAACTTCTGCCAGGTTTATAAAGAACACTACATGCTTCGAGCAAATCTGCTGTGTTTCTTCCAGCCTTGGTGTTTTCCTTTTATTTTACATTTTATGTACTAATACTTTCGGCATTTTTCTATCAAACATGAATGGCAAACTGTGTGAAACTGTTGTTCCTCTCAGACATTTTAGGTATGTGAGTAGTTTTCCTCCATGTGTCCTAGATGAAGACTCAGTGATGTGGCTGTCATAGAGAGAGTGACTAAATGATGCTGTGACTGTGCTGCTGTATTTCTACCTGTGATGTACTTGAAAGAGGATGCCCTTCTCAACCTTCATGCTCATTCTGTTTTCTTCTCTTTTTTTAATCCATTGCTGTTGATGTTCTTTCATAGGTGTCTAATTTTGATTTTTTTAATACCTGCCACATTTATCTTTCCTTCAATGGGCATTTCACTTAATATCTTGAGATCTGTACAACTGTCTAGGGTTTGTCCTGAAGAAAGGAAGGACCTGCTGGAGGAAGATGTTTTGGACCAATGTACTTCTGCTTTGTGACTGTGAAATGTTAATCTTTTTGTAACCTAAGAACAAAAAATGTTTAGTAAAGGGATATATTTTGTGTTTTTTGAAACTTTTCAGTGCAATGAACAAAAGAGGAGGATACTGAAGAAGTGTATGTGCAAAGTTTTAAAATAAAATTTTAAATTATATATTATATAATCCATCTAGAGGTATAGTCATTTTTATTCTGCCTTTGTCATGAACATTCCCGGAGTCTCTTTATGTGTATTACTAATTGTGCAATGCAGACAAGTAGCACACTGCTTTACAAGGGAATTGATGACTCACTGACAAAAGGCCTGACTCTTGAGTTAGGGAAGTAAATTCCTTAAATTCCTTTGAGGTGGATTAGTGGATGGGTTGATCTGGAAGAGTTCAGCTGTAGGGTTGCTGTGAGAGCTTTTTGCTGCCATCAGATCACGATTCATCACTCAGACTGCCAGTTGCCATGTTCTGACTCAGTGAAGAGCTGTGCAAAGTGATCCAGTACCAGCTCTCTGAGGCATTGGATGTAATTTTGGAAATGACAGCATAGTTGGAGGAAGTTTTCCCTCATCCTCAGTTCCTTAGGATTCACTGTCTTAAACTCTGCTCTGAGTTTATGTTTGAGTAAGTGAATTCATGGGTTGCACTGAAGCAAGCTGTCAGGGTTATTTAGTAACCAGAGGTGCTTTTGCAGGTACTGAAGGTGCAGGAACTGACACTGGCCTTGCCTTGTGCCAGCACAGCCATGGGCAGTGGGTTGCCAGCAAGAGAATGAGAGCTGGGCATGTACCTACTCATTATATTTTGAAATATTGCATTGTAGCACAAGTGGTTCTCCTGCTTCCTGTTTCACCTCATGCTTAGTAGAAGAGCACTGAAAACATCTGTTCTAGTGCTACTGTGGTTTTAAAATGCTGCACCTGCCCCTTGTATTTTCCACTGAGCACAGTGCAGAGTGCAGAGAGAGGCAATGTGTTACTTTCTCTCACTCTTGCTTCACTACTCTTCCCTTAAGTCCTACAGTTTATTACTGCAGTCCGACCTCAGTGTCAGGTTTAAAATTGCTGTGCAAATAAAACTTCAGCACAGCTTTGCCTGGCGTGCTGGTGTCAGCTGAATAATAAGTGCTGGTAGCCAGCAGTGACAGGGAACTGTTGCACACCAACTGAACCTAAAGGACCTTATTCCACATCATTCTTTTGCATTTCCTATGCCATAAATTCTATAAGCTTGTAGATCAAGTAAGGCTTCTTATTTTAATTTTTTTTTAGGCGATTCACACAACTCTTAAAATTTGGACATCAGTTTCCATCATTCATGTAGGCATTAAGTCAAGTGCTTTGCCAAATAATCCATTCATGTATTCTACTGAATGTGCCCAGTTAACTAAAGTGACATAAGGGAACAATCCCACTAATTTATTGTATTTTGTACAGTTTCTGTAAAACCAGTTTCTTCTTAATGTATCCTGATAGAGCAATGTACTTTCACAGAAAGTTGACTTCTTCATGCTTCTACACAGTGGCTTTTACTGATTCTGGACCTTCTCTCATGCTTTCCAGGAAGGCTTATATCAGTCAAGGTTTTTTCACATCCTGTTCTTGTTAAGAGGAAGGATGAAGTTTGTTTTAAAAAATCCTCCATTTTGCAAAACAAAGAATGCCATAACTTTTTGGGGATGTTAAAACAATTTCAGGGGAAATGGTGCTTTGAGGGTGAGATTGTTACAAAGGAGTTTGATGGAGGTAGACAAAATGTGTCTACAGGTAGATAAAGACACGTTAGTTGGAGACTCTTAATAATTTAAGAATAATTAATCATAAATTTGAAGCTGTAGCAATAGTCCACGACGCTCTGTCACAAAATGTTAAGGGAAGAGGGAGGTGGCTGTAGCAGAAGAAATAATTAGATATTTACTGTAGCTAATTTAAGACTGGTTATTTAGATGTGTAGATAGATAAAATCTCTCAATCTTCATTAATTTGAGGCCATCCAATACTAGAATTATGTTCTTATGTGTTTTAGTGCATAATTTCTCAGCCTGTAAAGAGTCAAAGTATCCCTCATCTTGACCACAAGCATTTATTCCCTCAAGCGACAGGAATCAATCCCTCACAGTGTTCCTCTGTGATGGCACCCAACCAGCTGCAATGGTGTTTTCTGGTGTTTTCTGTGAGCTTCTCAGTCATCCCTGGATTTACAAGTCTGTTGGTTCTGTGCGTCTGTGGTAATTCAAGGACTCTCCCAACAGACTGGACTCCAGCAGAGCACCTTCTGGGTTTATTTATGCTATGGGGTGGCATTTTTCTTTCCTTTCCTCTCCTTACTGTGCCCCTCTCAGATTTAAAATATTTTGGAGTAGCTGACTGCTGTTTGAGATGAGCCACTGAGTCCCTGGCCATCCAGCTCCTCCCACCACTTGCTTCCTGCAGGCGCTGACAGCAAGAGCATCACCAGCAATGCAGGAATGCTGCTGCCTAAAGGGAAGACTCATAGAAGGGGAAATGGTTTCTTCATTATTCTAATATTGCTCATTACCTCTAAATTAGTGCTTACATGCCTATAATATTTTAATTCTTCAGTTTGAAAGGGGAAACTTTAATGGTCTTTAAGTTGGTTTTAGAAGGCTCAACTTTTTGACCATTGTTACCCCAGTTCTTTGGCTCAGTTATTCTCCAGGAAAACTACTCCTCCTTGGCAAATGAAGGGCTGTCTGGAAAATCCAAAGGCTGTCATGCAAGCTCAGGTACAGCATTTAGCTTCTCATATGACAGTCATTGTGCATTTCTGTAATTGCTACAACTTCCTGGGGACTAAGCAAAGAAACCCGAAATTTTGCTATTTTTGCTTTAAAAGGGTAAGACTTAAGAATATGGAAAGTCTTCAAGATATCCATGAGTGAAACTACAAGGAAAGATCCTGCTTTCCCATGAGAGTTACCGTGGAAGACAAATGACTAGGCAGTCACCTTATGAAATAGCACAAATTGTTCCTAAAGAGAGACCATTTCTCTGCCCAGCATAATATTCAATAAAGCTCAAGGATGTAAAAGCAGCTGACAGCCCTGCAGTCATTTCAGTCTGTCCAGAA